GGCTGACCATAAGCCAGACATCCTGGAGAGTGAAGTCAAGTGGGCCTTAGAAAGCATGGCTAACAACAAGGCCAGTGGAGGTGATGGCATTCCAGTGGAACTATTTAAAATCTTAAAAGATGAGGCTGTTAAGGTGCTACAACCAATATGCCAACAAGTTTGCAAAACTCAATAGTGGCCAGAGGATTGGAAAAGATCAGTCTACATCCCAATCCCAAAGAAGGGCAGTGCCAAAGAATGCTCCAACTCCCATACAATTGCACTTATTTCACACGCTAGCAAGGTTATGCTCAAAATCCTCCAAGGAAGGGTTCAGCAGTATGTGGACCGAGAACTCCCAGAAATACAAGCTGGATTTTGAAGGGGCAGAGGAACTAGAGACCAAATTGCTAACATGCGCTGGATTATGGAGAAAGCCAGAGAGTTCCAGAAAAACATCTACTTCTGCTTCATTGACTATGCAACAGCCTTTGACTACAGCAAACTATAGCAAGTCCTTAAAGAAATGAGAGTGCCTGACCACCTTATCTAGCTCCTGAGAAACCTATATGTGGGACAGGAAGCAACAGTTAGAACTGGATATGGAACAACTGATTGGTTCAAAATTGGGAAAGGAGTACGACAAGGCTGTATATTGTCCCCCAGTTTATTTAACTTATATGCAGAATACATCATGCGAAAAGCAGAACTAGATGAATTCCATTTTTCTAATCTGGATTTAAGATAGCCAGAAGAAATATCCAATATGCAGATGATACCACTCTGATGGCAGAAAGTGAAGAAGAATTAAAGAACCTCTTAATGAGGATGAAAGAGGAATGCTCCAAAAATGATCTGAAGCTCAACATAAAAAAACCTAAGATCATGGCCACTGGCCCCATCACCTCCTGGCAAATAGAAGGGGAAGAAATGGAGACACTGGCAGATTTTACTTTCTTGGGCTCCATGATCACTGCAGATGGTGACAGCAGCCACGAAATTAAAAGACACCTGCTTCTGGGGAGGAAAGTGATGACAAACCTAGACAGCATCTTAAGAAGCAGAGACATCACCTTGCTAACAAAGGTCCTCATCATCAAAGCTATGTTTTTTCCAGTAGCGATGTATGGAAGCAAGAGCTGGACCATAAAGAAGGCTGACTGCCAAAGAATTGATGCTTTTGAATTGTGGTGCTGGAGGAGACTCTTGAGAGTTCCCTGGACTGCAAGGAGAACAAACCTATCCATTTTAAAGGAAATCAAGCCTGAGTGCTCACTGGAAGGACAGATCCTGAAGCTGAGGCTCCAATACTTGAGCATCTCATGAGAAGAGAAGACTCCCTGGAAAAGCCCCTGATGTTAGGAAAATGTGAAGGCAAGAGGAGAAGGGGATGACAGAGGATGAGATGGTTGGACAGTGTCATTGAAGCTACCAGCATGAATTTGACCCAACTCTGGGAGGCAATGGAAGACAGGAGGGCCTGGTGTGCTCTGGATATCCAGAGGGGTCACGAAGAGTCAGATACGACTAAACGAATAAACAACAATAACTATATTTGGGATCAGGAGAACAAGGGGTGTTTGTTTGTTTTTTTTAATTAAAGAGAGCAAAAAACCCGACTGGAGGGTTGAATACAGTATGCGGGGCTGTCTGGATGAAGGTTTGGGGACAGGATGGAAGAAAGTGTGTTCTCCTATCTCAAGTGAGGGTAAGGAGATGAATTGCATAGAAAGCAATGGCATAAGGATAGTGGCCCAAGGGGAATGATTGCTTCCATCGTCACTTGATCTATGTAATAAGTACCATAAATAAACACAGTACCACGAGTTAATATTTAAGCTATTGAACAGGGTCTCTAAGGCAATTGTCTAATGCCAGAATGAGAGGCAATATGCCTTTGGAAGAAAACAGGTAGTACTGAAAAAACTAGATTCAATACATCCTTGCTATGAAGAACTTAAAACAGCACTGGGTGTGATTTATGTCTTTGAAATCACTTAATGTGCTAGCTGTATGTAATATGGACCATGCCATGAGCTGAATTTTGCCAGAACTCTTTAATAGTCAATAAATTAACTGGACATGGTTTTCATTCCATTTCTTCCTCTTTTTACAGTACTTTGCTTTTGTCTTCTAGAGAATCCCCGTCCACTCAAGCATTTGTGCCGCCTGAAAATAAGGAAATGTATGGGATTAGAGAGGACACGGAAGCCCCTGACGATGAAGAAACTTCCTCTTCCATCTGTTCTTAAAGCATACATCCTATACAAAGATTATGACCTTTATGGAAGGGGGCTAGATGTGGAATGATTGTTCTGATCCAAGAGGTATGGGAGTAGCTGTGCTGAGGTTGAAGGTGCCACCATTGTATATCATGGAGCCAAATCCTACAGTGCCCTGTTGCCGTCAGAAGGGATGTTTAAAGCATCTTGTTCTTGAAGTTTGCATGAGGAAAGTAAAGCCAAATCCAAAGATGTCCTTCCATGTGCACAATCACGGGCGTGGGAATTCCCTTTCAGACATTCTTTGTGATAGTACTGTGTAAACTCTCGCACAAAATAAATAATAGGAGCACAACCCTGGAATCTATTTTTATTCTTATCTCCAGCATTCATATACATGTGTTCTGTCTCTCTCTAATACTATGTTTTTGATGCAATACAAATAAATTATAATTGCCTTGCTCAATACGTATCGAAATTACATGCAGTGCTTGACTATAAATCATTGTGTATGTGTGCTAAAGCCGAAGGAGACTGTGGGTGTTACCTTAGCTTCTTTGTACAGGGGCAAGAGATTTAAGAGAATTATACTAGGTGTCTGCCTGTCAGACCAACCACGACATTGCTGGAATTAGTTATTTTAGAGGGATTTGGGCTATACGTTGTACATGAGGATGAAAGGATGAAAGATCAGGCTGACTGATTTACATTCAAATATACTTGTGGCCCCTTGCATATGGCTGTCCATAAATGCTATACCCAGTCTCCTGGGTCTTTCCCTTTACGCCCAATTGCCAAATCCTGCATCAATGAAGGAAAATCTGTTAATATGGGGCAATGAACCTCTTGGTTATTGGCATTGGGCATCTCTGTTGCATGCTTTGTTTGAAGCAAAGAACATTTTAAAGAATTACATTATTGGACTACACTTACCAGAATCCCCCAGCTATGGGAAAGCTGTAGTTGCTTTGGTTATCCACCAAAGAGAGTAATCAGCCTCCATGCTCCAGAACTATATAGCCAAAGACACAGATTTATCTTAAAAATAATATCAGCAACAGCAACAATGGTGTGCCATCAAGTCAGTTTTTATTCATGTGGGTACTTCTAGGATTGTAAAGGTATAAAATATTCAGAAGTGGTCTACCTGTCCCTTTTTTCTGATGGCTCTCTGGGACCATGCAAATTGTCCAGGACTGTACAAGGTGACAGGGCACACAACCTCATCAGCCACACAAACTCTGGATGATCTCTGCTCTTCCATTTCCCAGGAAAGATAGTAGGAATTCACTCCTGACTCACGGTTCCCCAGCCAAATGCTCCAACCCACTGTGCAATACTAGTACTTAAGTAATATGCATGTCCAATTTTAAGATGTTCATGGCAATTTTCAAGATATATGACCTATCCTTAATTTTTTAGAAGTACTTCCAGTGTTGGATTACATTAATAACCTCTCAGTTTCTGTTTTCTATGTACATATTTCTATAAAGAAACATTTTACTGGTGCTCTGTAGCTGTATAGTTATTCATAGCCATCATCCAGTGCTTGTCTTCTCAGAATAGCCAAACGTCAACTGAGACATAATTGTAATTATGAAATACAACCTCCTTCCACTCCCCAGTGACAGAAACAATTTCAGTAGCAACACACTTCGTATATAGCACTAAAGTTGAAGGGTACACTTTGGCAAAGTATACACAACTTCCACAATGATATAAGTACAGTGAAGATGAATGTGATTTTGAGGGGTGTCCATCTTTTATGTCCATATATTATTCGAATAGCTTTCTAACACTTCTTCCTTCTGGCTTATGTCATAAAAAATGCTTTACAGCTATCCTTAAATACTTCAGCTGCACACATACAAAATGTTGTTAAGGAGATCACAATCATTTCTATTCATTTCTTTCAACTTAGTCTTGTATCATCTTCAGGTGGTTTTGTAGTACTGCAGAAGAACATAGAAACCTGGCAAATTGGCCCTGGATGCTTAGCTTAAACAAGATGTGCAAAAATATTTTATTCTCCACACTTGGAAGGCTCAAGAAGCAGTGAACCCACAAAATGAAACTGACAGTGAATTCCCAGTCATGTTCTGTTTGTAATTTTTGTGGATTTGGCACATTTGGGAGGCTAATATGGCCCTCATTGGTTGTTGAGGCTAGGAAATTGGTCCCTGAGCACTCCCAAGATTGTGGAGTATATAAACAGATAGCACAAGGGTGCATACCACGGCCAGGACCAATTTCATTTCTGAGAAAAATTACAGTTCACCCCTACTCTGAGGGTACAGCCATAACTCATGACTTCTATCTAGCCAGAAAATCAAAGCTCAGTCTGTGGCCTCTCTCAGTTAGAAAAGGTCAGTAGCAGGTGATATAGAAAATGCAGGACTGTTCCTGCCAGTCACAATAGACAGTGCAAAGCTGGACTGATAAATAGTCTGACTGACCTGGCATAAAACAGCTTCCCCTGTTCCCAGCCTTTAACTTCTACAGCTGTTTTCTCAGTTGGTAACAACAAGTGTTATTGCATGACTGATGATAGCTCCAGGTCATGTCCTGCTAGTGGAACAGGAACACTTTAAACCACTTAGATGCAATTACATTTATTAAAGTCCCAACCCTTCCTTCCTCCAAGAAGATCAGGATGTTATACACAGTATTTGTCCTGCTCATTTTATCCTTATAACCCAGGGAAGCCAGTTAGGCTGACAGACAGTGATTGGTACGAGATCAGCCAATACGTTTTGTGGCTAGGAGTGGAGTGGGGGTAGAATTTGAACTTTGGTCTCCTTCATTGTGGACCAGGCAACATAATAATGCAAGTGTGGTGCTGACTAAGGAACAGATACATACAGTTTTTGCAGCACTCAATGCATTACTATTATGACACTATCTGAGAGTTTAAATTATTGGATAAACAATATCTTCCTTCTAACAAGCCTATAAGATAGACCAGTATTTATTATTCCCAGTCTACAAGGATTTTTGTGGGGAAGATAGATTTGACAGGAAATGTTTTACTCAATTGGAACAGATGTGTATATTAGTGGATTTATCTATAAGATTTATTCTGTGCCCAGACCTTGGGCCTAGTAGTAACATCAGAAGATAGTTTCGGGGGCTCCCCCACCATGCAGTTTTCCCAGTCTTAACCATTCTCCTTAAAGCTACTATTAGCCCTGCTGTGAAAACACAGTATCCATGTTGTTCTTACTTCCAGTTAGATTAATAGCAGCTTTGGAAGATGAGTTCTCGTTAGGAAAAGGACACAGGGAATAGGACTGAATACCTCACACAGTTGCCTGCATCGAAACCAGAAAAAACCCAATGGGCACAGACCCAAAGGAGAAAAGAAGGAGAATCTTGGGTTAGGATATGACTAGATAGCCAAATTGTCTGGGGCTGAATTGGGTTAGATCGTCCTAAACAGGGTCACTTGCAGGTGTGGTATGTAATTTGGGGCTGTCCTTCCAACCACATGCAACGATTGGGTGGTTTGGGGGCAGGAAGCCACACTGCACCTCAAATGACCAAATTTAGCCCTTTTTCCCTTTAAAGAAATAATAATAATAAAAGTGATCTTCCTCCTTTACCTGTCCTATCTCCTCCTACGAGGAGTGGGAGTGGGAGGAAGCTTTAAAAAGAAAATTTCTAAGTGGCATAACGCTGAATTGGCTTGCTGATCAAGCAATTCATTACTGGCTTACAAGGGTTTATACAAAACAGCAAGTTTGCATCCTTTTCTATATTCTGTTGGAGTTCTATGGGGGAGTAGGAAAGCTTTCAGTTTTCTAATAAATGATTAGACCCAAAGTGGCTTAAACAAAGAGACAGATTAACCTATCTGCTTTGGTCCAATCCCATCCATCACGCATGCAACAACCAAACCAAAATTGAGCAATTTTATCCCCACAAACATACACACATATGACAGGGACCCCAAAAGATGCTGTTAGGCAAGGATAAGAAACAAGCTGGCTTGCCATGGCCCATATATCACGTGATTGCCAGAAAAAGGAGCAAATTGTCTTGTTCCCAAAGCAGACCAAGCCACAGGACAAATTCCTGTCAAATTGCATCATTATTTGGTGAAAAGGAGGCTTTGAATATTGGGAGGGAGAAAGAAAGGCAGTGTACAAAAACAGGGAATGTGAGGTGCAGAGATAATTTTAAAATCTGGTTTGTTCCTGATTTGGAGAAGTGGATTGATGGAAAATGAAAGCACCAACAAGGGGAGAAAAACATTCTCCTTCCACACGAGGAAGGAGGCAATGTGAGTTGAAGAGGCTCAGGTTGAGGAGAAACGTTTCAAAGAGGCTGTTTGTTTGCAACACAGATACACTGTCTGGTGTCACTTTTCCATGCCACTTCAAATGTTATAATTCCTGGCCCTTTCTACTTTCACACTGTTTCTCTTTCACCAGACAGGCCACAGTTCAATTTACTTAGTTCAATTTATCCAGTGAGCCAAGGCCTATAGGAAGCCCTTTCTACAGAATTTCAGCCAATTTGGCACTCAATGTACTGGATTACAAATCACATTCCATCTCCAGTTTGATTATGTATGGACATGCGTGGGATATCGTTTAAGGCATCTGAGAAGGAAGTACCAAGGAAATCTTTGCTTTTTAATGTTTTTGTTGGTTTTTGCTTTTGTTTACAGTATTTTGTGCAGTAAAAAGAACTGTCCACTTGATGGAACTGGTGAACAATCTCATGAATTTTCCAATGGCTACCCAAGTAACAAGGAATTGTAACACACTATTAATAGGGAACAGACTGCGAAGAGTGTAGTAACGACTGTAACAATTTTTTGTTGTTCCAAAGTAGTGAGTAATGGAATGAGTTGCTTTTTGAAAGTGATGTTCCAAGTTCTGTGTACTTCATAGAAAGGTTTGTGAAAAGTTCTGAAAGTTGGTCTGTGGGCTCCACTATAGGCATCCCATAGATCTATCTAAAGATCTGTTCAACTCTCCATACTCAAACCAGGCATAACTCATAGGAAAGAAATACCAGCATTTGGATATGATCCCTTGTAAAAAGTCTACATTCTTGTTACTTTTTAGAATTCGTAATGACCTTCTGTGGAATCTGTAGTGCTGTACTACAAAACAATAAATTTTGAAGGTCTGACTTAAATCTGTCATGATCATAGTGTCTGAAAATAAAAATCTTTTCATCCTTTTTAGAGAATGTACTTGGTCCTGGTCTTTCTCTCAGTGTCTCCAACTTAAAATCTCTTAATTTTAAACGAGGCAACAACCAAATTTAATTTAAAGTGGGGTATGGGGATTTATGACAATCAAGAAAAAAATTACCAGCTACCAACAGTAAATGGTAATTTACTGTTATATAAATGCACAACTGTTTGTTACTGAAAAATAACAACTTCTACTTCAGACCTTATCTGAGTCCTATGCGGAACTTCAAATACAAAACAGGCTTTAGTTATGTGTTTTATTTTTGCCCCCTCCAATTTTGTTTGTGCTTAAATTATCCCTGTTGACAGCACCCGATGCAACCTAGCTGGA